TTGTGTGTTTGTGAAAAATTTTCCCGATGGTAAATTTATTATTCTTTTACTTTATGTTGATGACATGTTAATTGTGGGTCAAGATTTTACCATGATAAACAAGTTGAAATTGGAGTTGAGCAAGTCTTTTGCTATGAAAGATTTGAGACCAGCAAAGCAAATTCTTGGTATGAAAATTGTTCGTGATCGCAAAGAGAGGCTGATTTGGTTGTCTTAAGAAAGTTACATTGAGAAAGTTCTTGAGAGGTTCAACATGAATAAAGCAAAGCCGGTTGGTTGTCCACTTGCGGGTCACTTGAAACTTAGTTCAAATCAATGTCCTACAAGTGAGAAAGATAATGAAGAGATGTTGAAAGTTCCTTATGCTTCAGCAGTTGGTTCTTTGATATATGCCATGGTTTGTACAAGGATATTGCTCACGCCGTTGGTGTGGTGAGTCGTTTTCTCTCTAATCCGGGTAAAGAACATTAGGCGTAGCGGTAAAATGGATTCTAAGATATCTTCGAGGGACTTCGAAGGTGTGTTTGTGTTTTGGGGATGGTAAGGCGATGCGTGATGGGTTCACAGATTCTAATATGGCCGGTGATATTGATTCTAGGAAATCTACTTCGGGGTATTTGATAACTTTTGCAGAGGGAGCTGTGGCATGGCAATCTAAATTACAAAAATGTGTTACTCTCTCAACTACCGAAACTGAATTTATTGCCATTACAGAAGCTTGCAAAGAAGAGTTATGGTTGAAGAAATTTTTACAAGAGTTGGGTTTGAAGAAAGAAAAGTATGTGCTTTATTGTGATAGTTAAAAGTGCTATTCACTTGAGTAAAAATTCTACTTTTCATTCGAGATTGAAACACATTGATGTGAGATACCATTAGATTCGTGATGTGTTAGATTCAAAGTTGTTACAACTAGAAAAGGTTCACACAGATGATAATATTTCGGATATATTGACAAAGACTTTGTCGAGAGACAAACATTTAAAGTGTCGAACTTTGACGGGTATAGTTGATATCTCCACCTAAGTCGGTAGGGGCAGAATTGTTGGGCATACCTCTTTATTGGAGTGTGAGACCCAATTGGTTGTTAAAAGAATTCTAATTTGGTTTGATTTGGGTATAATATATTTTATATATATTATATCTAATTTTTAAAGACCTAATTCAGTTAGGTAACAATTAAGATTTGTTTACAAAATTCAAGATTCAATAATATATTTAGATATATTATTTTGTTTTTCGGAGTAGCGTGCTGTGGCTACCATAGATATTGATCAATCAATTTGGTGTGAGGAACGGGGACTGAAGGAAAATTAGTGCTCTCTTTTGGAAGATTGATTGACCAATCAGTCTGTGTGAAGGGGGCTTGTGGTTGGGTAGGTTTTTTTGTCTCATGTGGTGTGTTTGAAAGGATTGTTTGGGTCAGAGATTGGGTTAGTTTGGTTTGTATTTCTGAAAAATTTTTGGAAAATTTTTTTTATAAATAAGTTTTTAAAAGTAATCAAACTAAACAAATTTTTCTAAAAAAATTTCTCAAAACTTGTAAACCAAACAAGTTTTCCAAACAAATCTCTCTCTCACACACATCAAATCAATCACTTTTTCCAAAACTCTCTCTCAAAATAATTTTTCAAAACATCTTTTGAAAAAAACCAAACCAAACAACTTTTCGTACTTTTTATCTCTAAAACATATCTCTCAAACACAAACCAAACATACCCTTGGTATAATTTAATTGTCTTCTACAATTCTAATTTGAAAGATTTTGGTTCGTCTATTTGGTGAAATCTTTTTTATTTATTTATTTGTGATTATTTAGAATTCACCTAAGGGTGATTTGTGAGACTATTCGTGTCTCGTTTGTAATCGTTTGGAAACTTATTTGGTTGATAGTGGAATCGGATTTCGATCTATTTGGTTGATAGTGGAATCGGATTTCGATCTCGTAAACGTACCTCACATTGAGGGAACCACGTAAAAATTCTTGTGTTACTTTTGATTTAATTTTTCTGCATTAATTTTTATTTTGCATTGATTGATTTACCCGTAAAGAATCACATATTTTTCCTCACAAAACAAAACTAGGTAACCATAAAATCCCGAGAAAAAAAAAAATGTAAAATTACCAATATAAAACTTTGTCCCATAATCATCCAATTGGCCAAAAGTTCCAAACTGTCAATTCATTTCCTATGATTCCTCAACAACCATCCACAACCCATATCACATATCCATAATATATTTATAAATTTGAGGTTTTTGGATTACCAACACAAGGTTTTTTCTTTCATGAGCTTGTACATAAGGACACAGATTCCTTTTGAGTGGACAGCTTCAGCAACGATGAAGAGGTTGCCGTGATCGTGGACGATGACTCACAGCAACACCAAAGTAGCCATACTGGTGACGACAACGAGAAAAGCCTTCATCTTCAGTGGTTGTCTTCGAACCCATAACGAGACGGCTTGGATTGACCCTCTTGGTGATCTCATGGTGGTCTGTGGTTTGGGGATTTGGATAGGTGGGTGTTTGATTTGCGGCCACGATGCGGCGGCAAGAAAGTGAGGGAAAAATAGCAGATTTACTGGGTATAGAAGAGGAAACAGTTAGGAGTTGGAAGAGCAGAGAACGAACAAAGAATCCGAAGCCGATGCCGATGAGAATTTGTGATCGAAGCCGGAGGGGAGAAAATTGGATTGAGCTGAGCAGCAAAGAGCAGAGAGAATGGGACTAAGTCAAATAGGGTTTCTGCAGAGAGAGAGAGAGATTTAGAGAGAAAAATGAGAGGTTCTTGAGCAAGAAAAAATAAAGGGGGGAGAGAGGGAAATAGAGGGGGGAGAGAGGGAAATGGAGGAATTGCAGAGAAGTTTGTGGAAGATGATGGAGAAGGAAGGAAGAGGGTGGCGGAGGGATTTGGATAATTGAGAGAATGATGAAAGAGGGGAATAATGGGTGACTTTGCATCTTTCTTTTGAAATTTAAGGTTAAAATGTAATTTTTTTATAAATTTTTTTCTGTTTAAATGTAACAGTAAGAGATAAATTGATACGATTGTAAAAATTTTAAAAGTAAAATTAAAATTATTCAAACTCTGAGAATGTAATTGATTATCGAAACAAAATATAGAGATAAAAATGAAATTTTCTCTTCAATAGAACTTAACAATTTGTTCTTTAAGTTTGATGCCATTTATATGTATTTTCCTTTTTCTTTTCTCACCATTTTTCAGAAATATAAAGTAGAAGGCGAATATGATGGAATTCGGATCCTCGGCCGCCCTACCCGGCAGCCCCCCAAAACGACGTCGTTTTGGGGGGCTGCCGGGTAGGGCGGCCGAGGATCCGAATTCCATCATATTCGCCTTCTACTTTATATTTCTGAAAAATGGTGAGAAAAGAAAAAGGAAAATACATATAAATGACATCAAACTTAAAGAACAAATTGTTAAGTTTTATTGAAGAGAAAATTTCATTTTTATCTCTATATTTTGTTTCGATAATCAATTACATTCTCAGAGTTTGAATAATTTTAATTTTACTTTTAAAATTTTTACAATCGTATCAATTTATCTCTTACTGTTACATTTAAACAGAAAAAAATTTATAAAAAAAATTACATTTTAACCTTAAATTTCAAAAGAAAGATGCAAAGTCACCCATTATTCCCCTCTTTCATCATTCTCTCAGTTATCCAAATCCCTCCGCCACCCTCTTCCTTCCTTCTCCATCATCTTCCACAAACTTCTCTGCAATTCCTCAATTTCCCTCTCTCCCCCCTCTATTTCCCTCTCTCCCCCTTTTATTTTTTCTTGCTCAAGAACCTCTCATTTTTCTCTCTAAATCTCTCTCTCTCTCTGCAGAAACCCTATTTGACTTAGTCCCATTCTCTCTGCTCTTTGCTGCTCAGCTCAATCCAATTTTGTGTAGGTCGTGAATGCTAATAACAATGACTTTTTTAAGGCTTGCAATGTTAGCCGTAAATAATAAAATTTTTTATAACATGCATATGGCATGCCGTTAATACATTAACTATAAAAATATTGAACATTTCACGATGCACAAAAAGTCAGTCGTTAAAAATTACACTTTCCACGACGTACAAAAGCCAGCCGTTTAAAATATTATGCTTTCCACGACATGCAATTGCTGTCGTGAAAGGTATGATCAGGAAAAAAATAATAATAATATAAAAATGTTTCAGGTCCTATTTTTCCCTACCTCCTTTGACCCCCCCTCTTTCTCTCATTGGTTACATTTTTTTTTTCTACTCCTCCATTCACCATCCCCCACATGTGTATGGAGTGATAGAGGTGTTGATTGGAGGAGGTCTCTATCATGACTCATAATAATAATAGAATAAAGATTGAGACCCCCTTTGGAGGTCACCCTCTTCACCCCTTTAATTTTGATTGGTCAATTTTTTTATTTTTTATTTTTTTCTTTTCACCCCATCTCTAACCTCCATGTGTACGAGGGGTTGTGGAGATGAGTGTTTTAAGGGGTCTAAATCAATGCCCATAATAATAATAGTGCCAAAATAAAAATTTTGAGCGCTAAAATGAAAAATTTAGCGGCAAATTAACCCCCCCAAAAAAATAAAAAATCCAAAACAACACCAGCACTATCAAAATTAAAAGAAATAAAAATGAAGAGACACATATGGAGAATAGCATAACCATTTTCTCCATCATCGACTGAAGTTCGTCGGCGACCAGTGCTTCCGTCGGCTACTATTTCTTCCATCGGCCTCCTTTTTTTCCATTGTCAGGTATGTAATTACATCATTCTTTGTATCGCAGTGCCTCTTCTCAATCCTCTTTGTCCAAATTTGAGGTAATTCGTGATGAGGCATAAGGAAATTGAAGCCAATGCCTCAACACTTTGAAGCTATTTTATGAATCTTTGAAACTATTTTCTGAATCTTTGAAGCTTTTTTTTTTTTGGTAAATGAATCTTTGAAGCTATCTAATATCTATCTATGTTTTTCTCGCATGGCCCTAAAGTTGTTCAACATCAATCGGTTTAGGGTAAATAGAAGTTGCGACTTTTATTCTTGAACAGAGCTTCGATTCTTCTTCTTCTTCAACATAGCTTCGACTTGCAGCCCTAACAGGTTAGTTTCGACGTTTCTTCTTCTTCTTCTTGTAATTTGAAAATACTGCTACAAAGTTCGGTTTTCATTATTTATTTATTTATTATTGTCATTATTGAGTTCAAGCATGGGTTGTTGATGAATTTCACTTATCTTTCTCCATTTTTCTAGTTTTGTTTTTTAATCTAACATTGTGGTATGAATTACTTTTGACAAATTTGGTCAGATTTGTTAAGTTGATCCCAGTCCTCCTAAGGAAAATGGCTCAGAAGAATGCCCTTGTTCGAAAATTTCCTAGTGTTGAAATTCTTGGCTGCACAACCGTGATTTATTCTCAGCTTCATTCTTCATCTCAATTGATGAAATGTAAGGAAGCTAGTTACAAGGGTTTTGATTTTTCTGAATTTTCTTTTTCAATTTTGTGGCTGAGAATCTGTAATCTAGTGATGAATTATGTGTTAAGGGGAGCTAGTTACAAGGGTTTTGATTTTCGTGGATAATTTGTAAATCTAATGATGAATTGTCTGTTTACTTTGTCATATTCTATTGAGAATTTGCCATATTTACTTCACAAATGATTATTCTCGTAATTTTCTACAATCCTCAGCAATCAAAATAGCATTGATTATTTTTATTATTATTATTACTTTTGAATTGAAATATAAAGTGCTTTAGTAGATGTTTAATATTCTGTTGGGAATGGACACATTTCATTATGCAGGATAATATGACAATGGATTTTGATGAGAGGTACTTCCATGGGAAACCACAAAATAGCTTCCACAAAGCAGTGAATATCCCTGATGTGGCAATTTTTCCAAGGTGAGATTGGGCTTTTTTTAACTTGGAAACTATAATTTTGTTTATTTTTATAATTTGGCACTTGTATTTATTTTTGTTATTTTCCATTTTTGTTGTGTTAGTCCCAGTTTACACCATGAGCTCATGCATTCAAAAGAAACGTGACATTTTATTTGTTCACTGAATGCTCATAATTGATATACTTGTGTCTTGAATTTGTTCATTATTGATTCATAGGCTATTACTTCAACATTTCATGATATCCATAGAATTTTCATCTAACTTGAAATAACACATGCAGTCCTTGGTGTTAGTTTGGTTGTTATCACAAATATGAGATACAGGATAAGACTGTCTATTGTAAAGATGGTTCATCAAGCTATTTTTTAGTAGTCCTTTTCTCTGTTTTTTTTTGTGGTCTGCTCAGTAGTACATTGTGTAGTGTATCCTAGTTTTCTCTCCAAAATGCACCTTAACTGTAGTTTGTGCATGCAGGAATGCAGAGGAAGTGTCCCAGATAGTCAAATCTTGTAACAAGTATAAGGTCTGAGCTCCTTGCTTTTGAGGGTTGTCTGATTTTTCTCTTTTTCTTTCAATTGTTTTTTATTGTTTTTCAGTTGCTAATATATAATGTGAATGGGTAACTCTTCTTTTATGCATTTGAGTTTTGGGCTATTGGATTGTTCAAACTGATAATTATTTGTATCCATTCATTAGGCATGAAAATCCAAATTTGAAATGCAGAAAAGAACCAAATATAATGGTTGTTTTTATTTAACATATACATATTTACTATAAATAATTTTGACAACTGGATTATTTATTTGAACTTTTCTTTTATTTTTTTTATAATTTATTTTCTGGTTTAATTTGATGAGCAGGTCCCTATGGTGGAGCCACATCACTCGAGGGTCATACATTATCACCTCATGGAGGTGTTTGCATTGACATGAATTTGATGAAAGTATGAGCCTGTTTCTTGTTATAAATCACGCCACATGATTGTAAGGCCCCTTTTGTCAGTAAAATTTAGTTTATTGACATTCATTAATAACTTGATTTTGTTTTAGCTATCAACCATACATTTTGGTGCTTTTTAATGCATTTTAATCTCAACATAGGGTTTGCATATGTTTGTTTTATAATGGAGATTATTTTGAATACTTTTCTTAGGTCTATTTTGGCCCTTTGGTGATATAATGTGTAGCTCATGTCACTTATGTTTCAATAGTTGCAGGGACCCCATTTGTACATTTTGGCTCAATCAATAAGGCCTACTTGTTTCATGTTAGTGGTGAAGCTTGTGCAGGCTCACCTTATTGCTTTACTTCGGGTCTGTGCGGTCGTCTCTGATTGAATGCCTTGGAGTGGAGACTTTCTACTAGTTTCCTTTCTTGTGAGCCCCTCTCTCTCTCTCTCTCTCTCTCTACTTTATTTTATTAATTTTTTTTTTTGCAATTTTTGAGTTATATAAATTGTGATAGTTTCTGTTAATGGAACCAAAATGCGTTCTCTGTATTGTCTACAAACATTTTTTTTTTGAACTTTCCTTCAAATTTTTTATTTTATAGGATCTTTTATTCCAAAAATCCTAAATAACATGATCCAAAATCTCAAAATGAGCAATTTGTTAAATGGGATTTGTATTTGAGATGATACTATCATCATTGCTCTGCCAATTTTTTAAGTACCCATTCTAATTTATTCTAAACTTTGAAAAGGGTTAACTGGACATAAAAATAAAAATGGCATTCAATAGTTGGTGTTACGAGCTCACATCGACAACTAAGGTGTTCAATTATTTTTTTGAGGGATAAAAATGGCATTCTAATCAGCTCAAGATGATTTTTTTTTTTTTTTTCCGAAGGGGACAATTGATAATCCAAGCAACTCAAGGTATTCAGAAATTTCTTTTAAGGATGAAAAATATAGAAAATACATCCATTAAATGTATGAAAAAGAAAAAAGTTGAAAATGAATACCTTCTCACATGTGTGGCGCCGCCTGTCTGCAAATATCATGCCATTTGTGTGTCTTTTGAGTTCTTATGTGATAATTGAATGTTCCAAATCCACAAAACAATAAAATAAAATAAATCTCTTTTTAAGTTTCCTTTCTTGTGGTTTGCTTAGTGCTCATATTAAGTTTGCTTACAGTTGCAAAGTGCAAGCTCTTTTTTGCCTGTGATGGCCCTTGCTCCTCAAGAGAAGGAAAGGATTGTTGATATGGCGTAAGTAACTGAACTCTTTCACACAGAAATATCTGCTTGCTATCTATCTGAATTTTTTTGCATTATCCTGTGTTTTTAGTTTCTTATTTTTATTTGAGCAAGTTTAATGGCTAAGTTTCTCTTTCTTTCTTTTCTTTTGTTTTATTATACTTTAAATGCTGTCTTTTGTTTTCCTCTTTCTCTTCTTCATGTTAATGTTGTTTTTGTTGACGGGTAAGGTAAGTAACAAAAGCATCCTTACATACGTCCAGCCTTGAAAATTGCTGTAGTTAGCTTGTGATTCCATTGCACAATTCTTATATTATGAATTTGTAGCATAATTTAACCTTTGATACAATCTGAGACAAAACAGTGTAAAGAAAGCTCACTTTAGGGACACTAATATCTTGCCTTTTTCATGTTCACTTCTTTGTATGAGACATGGTAGAGTTGATTGATGTATTCAGTCTCACGCACTAGTCATGGACATTTATGCAATCAAAGGAATAGGATTGTATGTGGTATCCATGTCCACGTCTCATGTGTTATCTTCACTACTTCTTTCTATCTGCATTCTCCCTCTTAATTGCAATTTATACCTTATTGCAGGGCTGCTCCTGGTGGTAAAACAACCTACGTTGCTGCTCTTATGAAAAATAGTGGTGTGTAGTGATTTTCATCTTGACTCTGTTATTTCAATTGCACTTATGCTTTCAATTAATTCATATGGTTGTTATGGCTTACTCACAACTTGTTGGGTTGAGCATACTCAAGTGTTAAAGGGCTGTTGATTAATTTTATTCATTCATTTTGGCCAGCATTGCTAAAAATTCCTTCTTTCTTAGTTGAGTTCCTTACACCTATTGTGAAGGTATGTACTCCCTGTCCAATCTTACTTTCATTACACCTTCTTTGATTACACCTATTGTGACCTTTGGCTTTGCATGTTTTTTGTCTGGGTTTGAAGCAATTGTGATTAGTGTGTTATGATAGAAAAAGAGGAGACTTTCACCTACCTCCTCTGTGGTTTGGCAATTAGGCAAAAAACCCCTAAGGTTTGAGAAACATACAATTACCATGATGGAAAGCTAATGGACCAATGGCAAAATGGTAAAAATATATGAAATAAAAAGAGAATAGAAAAAACTTATGATCTACGGTTGACAATTTCTAGTTTATGGTGGCTTGTGATGTTACGTAGTTGATGGTTGACAATTTTCTAGTCTTTGGTGCATGTATGTTTGGTATCATATGGTATATTTATAAGGTGGTAAGTGTCGTCCTTTTTTTTTTTATAAAATTTTTTCTGTAACATTGTATAAGCATGTATGTCAAATATTACATCACAAAAATAAGAACAGATTTAGGAGAAATGGGAAATTTATATATGGTTGGTTTTGCCTCACATTTACAACAAAAAATATTCTCACCATTGGCCTTATAGGCCAAGTGGTACTTGGGTGTTCTCCCAACCTTGATGTTTCGGCGCTCGGATGCTCAAGTTTCTTTCCTGTCTTGATTAGCCTAGAAAATGGGCAGGATCCTGTATTATTGATTATTTAGTTTATTAAAATTAGAAAAAAAATTATGATAAAAGGGGCCATGAAAATGATGCATTTGGAAATATTTTTGGAGTTTTTTGGGAGTCATATCACCTCATTCAAGAGCTGCTGATATTCCTGATAAATGTCAAGTTGCAGGCCATTAGGAGTCCAATTTGTTATTGGTATTTAAAATTATCGTCTTCTTGCTTTGTGTTTTTTTGTGCCTTTATTTTTTTGTTGGTTGTATGGTTGGGCTTGTCTCTTTAATTAACACTAACTAATCCTTGGTATGCTGCTTATGCATGAAACTTCTATTTTGTTGGAGGGAGAGATTTTGTAAATCTTTCTTTCATTTGAATTCAGCTGCACTACATCTTTGATTTATTCTACAATTCAGGGCAAGCAAAAACGAAATAATTGCAAGGTGAAGGATAAAGAAAGGGATGACAAGTCAGGTGTTGCAATCCAAGACATCCTCCAAGAAGAAAGCCTTGCTGATGAAAGAAAATATTTCACGATCGAGGATGCAGAACTCGTGCTTGAAAATTCTGATGTGTCTGATCCAGTAGATTGTCTTCCTGAAATGCAGCTTGATTCAGAAGACAGAGATACGGACACATCAAAAGTTAATGATGTGACTTGTGAATGAAAACTTAGAATAGTTGGATTGTGTCAAATGTTAATGAATTATGTATTGTGTCGAATGTTAATGATTTAGTTAATTTGAATGATGTTTCAAAATTACAGGTTTATTATGGATTGAATGAATTATTAGGAATTACAGATGTATTGTTTTCTTGCTTTGGCGACTAATTTATTAGTCGTGACATCCAAAATAATTTTTTTTCGCAAAAAATGACAATTGCTGACCAAGAGTTTTGGTCGCAAAAAATACATGTATTGCCGACCAAAACAACTCTTGGTCGTGGAATCTCACTTTTGCCGACCAAAAGTTTTGGTCGCGAAAAGACACAAATGGCGACCAATTTTTTTGGTCGCAAAATGTGATAATTGGCGACCAAAAAATTTGGTCGCGAAATGTAATAATTGGCGACAAAAATTTTTAGTCGTGAAATGTGACAATTGACGACTAAGAAATTTGGTCAGGAAAATATCACTTTTCGCGACCAAAGTGTTTTGGCGACAAAATAAATTAGTCGCGGTAATTAAATATTTAGCGACTAAAAATTTAGTCGGCAAAATTCAACTTTTGCCGACCAACTACAATTTTGGTCGCGAATTACTTTTGCCGACCCTCAATTGGCGACCAAAGTAGCGACCAAAAAAATTGGTCGCGGATAACTTTTGCCGACCAAAAATAGACTTTTAGCGATTAATTTTTTTGTTGCCAAAAGTGCTAATTCTTGTAGTGTTTACTGGGTATAGAAGAGGAAACAGTTAGGAGTTGGGAGAGCAGAGAACGAACAAAGAATCCGAAGCCGATGAGAATTTGTGATCGAAGCCGGAGGGGAGAAAATTGGATTGAGCTGAGCAGCAAAGAGCAGAGAGAATGGGACTAAGTCAAACAGGGTTTCTGCAGAGAGAGAGAGAGAGATTTAGAGAGAAAAATGAGAGGTTCTTGAGCAAGAAAAAATAAAAGGGGGAGAGAGGGAAATAGAGGGGGGAGAGAGGGAAATTGAGGAATTGCAGAGAAGTTTGTGGAAGATGATGGAGAAGGAAGGAAGAGGGTGGCGGAGGGATTTGGATAACTGAGAGAATGATGAAAGAGGGGAATAATGGGTGACTTTGCATCTTTCTTTTGAAATTTAAGGTTAAAATGTAATTTTTTTTATAAATTTTTTTCTGTTTAAATGTAACAGTAAGAGATAAATTGATACGATTGTAAAAATTTTAAAAGTAAAATTAAAATTATTCAAACTCTGAGAATGTAATTGATTATCGAAACAAAATATAGAGATAAAAATGAAATTTTCTCTTCAATAAAACTTAACAATTTGTTCTTTAAGTTTGATGTCATTTATATGTATTTTCCTTTTTCTTTTCTCACCATTTTTCAGAAATATAAAGTAGAAGGCGAATATGATGGAATTCGGATCCTCGGCCGCCCTACCCGGCAGCCCCCCAAAACGACGTCGTTTTGGGGGATTTTTTGTTTTTGTTTTTGTTTTTGTTTTTTTTTCTTTTCTTCTTCTTCGTTATTGCTTTCTCTCTCTTCGAACAGAAACTAGAGGGGAGGGGAGAGGGAGAAGAGGGAGAAAGGAGGAGGGAGGAGGCTGCGAGCTCGCCATCGCAGCTCGTCGCCTCGCCGCCGGCCGTCGCAGCCGTCCGATCGTCGCTAGATCCAGCTCGTCGCAGCAGCTGCACCGCCGTCGCCTCCGCCTCCGGCCTCGCCTCCGCCTCCTCCCCCACTGGTTATGGCCCCCTCCAGTCCGGCCCTTCCCTTCCTCCTCCTCCTCCTCCTCCCTCTTCCTCTCCTTCCTCCCTCTCTTCCTCTGCGTTTTTTTTTTTTTTTTTTTGAAAATTTGCCCCCAAAACGCATCAACTACTTTCCAATCAATTATAAATATTAATAATTAAAATTTTATAATTTTTTATGAATATATAATTTTTTTCAACTTGTTGCCAGTTGGATTTTCCAACTAGAGTGTCTTGTTAGGTTTTTGTGGGTGTACTAAAGAATCTACTTAATGATCTAAATTATTTAATATGTATGCTTCGTTAAGTACTTTATCTCTTTAAAAAATTATATTAGTCGGATATCAATAACTACTTGATTAGATTACATTTGTATTTAATAATTTATTTTTAAAATCATAATTATCGTTGACACAAATTTAATCTGATCAAGTGATTATTGATATTCAATCAATGTGGATAAAGTAATTTACAAGTCCTAAATATTAAACGATTCGAATCATCGATATAAACTCTGCAATAAGTTCACAAAATCTAATAGCATGTTTCAGTCCGAATTGAATTGGAGAAAAGCCTAACCTATTTTTTAAATCCAAATAAAGCATTATGCATGTTACCATCATCACATCAAATACACTTTGGAGTTATCTTTGCTCTAAAAATAACGCTCTTCGATTTTCAGTTTTTAATTCGTATTTTTAAATTTTTAATAAATTTTAAAATATTTAAATGTTTTTTAGGTTAACTTAATTTTAATATATTTAGAAAGTAAAAAATATTATATCAAAATCTTTAAAAAATTTCACAAATATTATACTTTTAAGGGTATTTAGATTAGGTATATCTAAAAAATAAAAAAATTTACGAAAAATATTAAAAAAATTTACTAAAAAAATACAAAAAAATAAAAAATTTAATTTTTTTTAAAAAACAGACTCAATTTTCTAAAATCAAACATGGTGAATAATATTTCCTTGTTAAAGTTACAATGTCCAATTTGAAGACTGCTTTAGTGAAGTTTTGGATGAGTTTGATGGCCACTTGAATCTAGTGTTTTTTTTTTTTTTTTTTTTATGGTTTTTTAATTTTCAATTTGTTGATGTAAAAATCCCTCTTGTGTGAAGGTTTGTTTCCTTCATTGTGGAAATCTTTTCTCCTCCTCTATGAAAGTTTGGATCTTTCATTCTATGAAAAATATTTATCCCTTTTTAAAATTTTGTGATCCTACTATAACAAATTGATCAAATCTTTTATCAATTTTGAAGTGAAATTTTTTCTTTTTAATCTAAAAATTTACAATGTCCAAAACTGCTCGGCAGGGGGAGTGTACACTTTAAAAGCATTGGTTAAAATGTTTTAAATAGTAATAACTTATTTATGTCACCTTCTTTGTGACTTGCATTGGCCCTATTTGGTAGAACTTATTTCAGTTTTTAACTTAATTTAAGTTATTTGATGTGTTTGGTTTAACTTAACAATACAACTTATAACTTTTTGTAAGTCAAAAATCAACTTATTCTTTGAGTGAGGGAGGAGAAACTTAATTTATAAGTCAAAAATCAACTTATGTTCACATCTATAAGTTATAAGTTATAATCACTTTTCCACAGCTCTACCAAACGGGGCCATTGCAGGTGATATTTAAGATCATGTCAAATGTAATGTTAAATGCTATGGAACAAGTGACTAAGAAAATTTTAAAAATTGTATAAAATTTATTTTTTTTATATAATATTACCTAAAAGTAATTTATTTAGCCTAACAAATTTTTTTTTTTGGTCCTTGGTTGAGAAAGAATATAAATTCTATTGCATGAGATATTAATTTTATGTAACGGGCACACTATTAAAATATACATTTGTAATAATTCACATCTATCCGAGAGAATGACACACCACTGTAATGTATTAAAAAAAAGAAAAAAGAAAAAAAAAGTGTGTCTTAGGCCAAGTTTGGCTAACCTAAAAAAGTACACTTATTTCATTTTTTTTACTTTTTTGAGTCACACCAATCAACATCTCCTCTCTACTTTTTCTACACATAATACAAAAAAAGTCAAAAAGTACACTTATTTAGTCTTTCCAAATTTGATCTTAATAACAAATGTAGCATAAGAAAATTGGAAGTAACAAGGGACAATTGATCACAAATGTCAATAGGTTGAATTTTATAACACATAAAACTTCCAAGATGTACCATCAAAAAAAAAAAAATACTTAAAAAAGAAAGAAAAATGCTTTCAAATTCTATTTCTTCAACTTTAAAATCCGTTCTAAAGAGTTAATCGTAGATTTCACTCACTGTGATTTGATATTTTAGTAGTTTGTTTGTTTATTTATTTATTTTTATCATAATATTAATGCTCTATTAAAATATCATAATTAATATTCTGAATCAATTCCTGAAAAAAAAAAAAAAAAAATTGAGGGGCAAGAATTCACCTTGGGCCAACAACCATGAAATTTGTAAGAACGATTGATGGGCTTCCTTCATACTAGGGCCTTGTTTGAAAGACTAAATAAATTTATATTTTTTATTTTTTTTTGAGTCATATTAATTAACATATATTTTTTTATTTTTTTATACATTTTTTTATAAAAAATCAAAAAGTACTCTTATTTAGAACATCTCAAACAATTCCTAAATTTTTATTGCAAAATTTACTGATAAGTTTTATACATAAAGTTTAAAATTTATCTAGTCCCAAAATAAAACAATTGCATTAATTAGTCATATATTTTTAATTGTTGCCAAAAAATTTTAATTAAAAATAAATAAATTAAAACGTCATTATACTCCATCACTGTCGGACTTCCGTTAGAAGGTTATCAGAGACTCGTCGAAATATTCAACATCACTGCGAAGTTGCCTGAATATCATCGAGAAATTTGTCGGAGTATTGCCAGAATGTTCCGAATATCACCGGAAGTCGTCGGAATGTCTAGAATATTCGTTAGACGTTAAGAATATCGCAAGAAATCCAACGAAATGTCTAAAATATTGCCAAAACAAAATTAAGAATAAACTGAAAAATTAAAATGAAAAAATATATCAAAATTTGCTAAATGTTGATAAATTGAAAGAAGAAAAAAAAATCTAAGAATAACAAACAACAACAATAAAAAAAAACATATATTATTTTCAATTTTTGTAGGATTTAAGCAAATAATTTCTTATATTGATCAAATCAAAAAGTAAGTTTTGAAAACTATAAAATGTTACAGTTTCAAAATATGATTTTATTAAATATGTATCCTTATTAATCAAATTGAAAACACATGTTATGAAACTGTAAAATTTTACAGTTTTAAAAGATTATTCATTTCAGCACCAAAAAAAAATTAAAATTGTAAAATTTTA